GGGGTCCCCCTAAATCATAATTCACTCCCCTTTTCCCCAAACCCTAAACCCTAAACCCCAAAAACCAACGCAGCCGCACCGGAGCGTAGGTGGGACGGATACCAACTCCAGCTCCCGGCACCTTTAGGCTTTCGTGTCTACGGACATTACTCCCGCAGCCCTCAACCCTGAACCCTTAGGCTTTGCTACAGTCTGAGTGCGGTTTGCTTTTGGGTTATATGATACATGTTTTACAGTAAACCCCAAAAAGTTGGAAACCGGATTAAGGACAAATAGTGCTGGGATTCCCTATAGACTACTCTTAAGGATTGAGGCTATTGGGTTTCCAACTTTTGGGCTTCTACTATACTTGGAGGTTCATGGGTAGTTATAAGTGGGGTTATAAGTAGGGTAACTATAATTACAACCCATATTAGGGGACTTATAACCCTACTTATAACTGCCCATGAACCTCCAAGTATTCCTTTTCTTGATGGATGGGTCTTGGCTCACCATTTGTCTTAACATGCTGGAAGACCATGGCTCGGGCAGAGCTCCAAAACTATTTAGACCTTAGGGTTTAGGGTTTAGGGTTTAGCCCAGTAGATCCGAAACCCTAAACCCTAAACCCTAAACCCTAAACCCTAAACCCTAAACCCTCGTCTTCCTCTACTTAAGGGACCATGGGACTGAGTACTATAGGGCTATAATTAGGGTTTAGGGTTTAGGGTTTAGGGTTTAGGGTTTAGAGTTTAGGGTATAGCTATATATATATATATATATTTGACTACTTATAACCCCAGTTTTCGTGCTTATAACCTTACTGTCACCAAGTTGCATGATCCTCCAAGTAGTCATACTGCGATTGCTAGCGGATGCTTCGTTTCAGTGCTTTTGGGTCCGTCGCAGCTGGCGGCATGATTGTTGAGGGGCCGGAGCCACTTGTGACGGGGCTCTGACACTGTGCGCTCCTATGTTCTCGGGTTTCGGGTTTAGGGTTTAGGGTTTATAGGGTTTAGGACTGCAAAGGACAGCACGGCTGACAAGTGACCCCCAAACCGACACCAAACTCTAGCTCATCCTAGCTCCTTTCCTTGGAACTTGAAGGTGTATGAGGATTTCGAAGACAAGAATGTTGAGGATGCCAGCCAGGTGACTAACAAGGCACATTCATGTGGGCTCTTCTCTAAACCAGGGTCCTGTTTAGGGTCCTTTTTAGAAGGGTGGCGTACTATTTTGGGAAGATAAGGGGGCCCTAATTTGGAGAACTACCCACATACTCATCTACATCTTTCCAACTTCATTAAACTCCAAGTTAAAGGAAACTACAGGTGGGGAGTTTAGGGTATATAGGGCTTCTATAAGGCTTCCATAAGGTATATAGACCTTCCATAAGGCTCCTATAACGGTAACTACCCACCTCAAAATGTCCTCGACCAAGCCTGGGATTCTTTCAGATTCCAGCAGGGCCCTCAAGCACGTGAAAGAAGCAATGAACTTCCAGGCAAGACGCTTGCAATGATGTCGGGGCAGTCGAACCTTGGCTGCAAGAAACGTCTCCAAGAAAAAAACTTCGGATATTCTAGCTTGAAGCTTCTAATCCTACCCTAACCCTCCAGGTACCTACTATATAGGGCCCTGGGGGCTCTAGTACCCTTTTTGGGTAGGTACCTGGGGGGGGTTCGGGCTAGGCCGCCATGGCTAGATCTTCAGCTTACACGCAGGATCTTGTTGGACACATGCCGCTAAACTCTTGCGACTTGGACCCTTCAGCCCTCAAACCTCAAAGAGCTAAACCCCACAAGCCCTAACAACACTAAACCCTAAACCCTACCCTAAAACCTAAGCCCCAAGCCCTCACCCCTAAACCCTGAAACCCCAAGCCTCCAAACCCTAAAATCAACCAACACCGATTACAAAACCCCTGCAGGAATCCAATCAAGCCCTGTAGTCCCAAACTCTTGACCCCCGGACACCCTCATACGGTTGATGATATCAATCCTGCATTATCCATAATAAGGAATATACCATAATTCCCCCAAGGCCCTAGTTTAGGGTCGTCGAGGTAATGCAGGATTTACATCATCAGCAGACATACCTCCTACACCCCGACGATATCCTTCCCCCATCCTTCCCCTAGGACTCCAAGTTATATAGCGGCGCTAATAATTAGAATAGGGTTGTGGGGTGTAGTATACAATAATCATGATAAGGAACCCCCAAAGTAATATAGTTAATTATTGAGGCACCTATAGCATACAAGTAGGAACTAAAGGAGGTCGCAGGTCGGTTGAAAAATTGAATATGAATATACATATACATGTATATATATATATATATATATTTACATATGTATGTATGTATGTATGTATGTATGTATGTATGTATGTATGTATGTATGTATATAATACTATATTATTTTATGTTATACTACATTATTTCATATTATATTATAGTATACTATATTATGTTCTATTGCATTGTATTATATTATGTATATATATATATTAGATAACTAACCTGCTTCGGGCTCTTTGGCTCCAGACAGCGGCATAAACTTACGGTTTAGGGTTGAGGGGTTTAGGGTTTAGGGGTGTGGGGTTTTGGTTTTAGGATTTAGGGCTTGGGTTTAGGGCTCAAAACCCCTTACAATTCAGTAGGATCCGCAACCGCCAAGGAGCACGGGGTCTGCACCGGTGATTGGCGCATGGAGGCGCATTGGCTTGTTTGCGGCGATCGCGCCGATTGACGCCTCGACAACGGCTTCGCGTGCTCGTTGCTGTGAAGACTGTTGATTTACCCATAGGCCCCAAAGTAGTTCCTTCTTGAGATTACCTTATAGGTTTCTAAATATGAACCCCAAAAAGGAACTACTGTGGGGCCTATAGGTATAGCCGTGACACTGTGAGATCCAAAAAAAACGATACTAAACCCCAAAACCTTACACGCTAAACCTTAAAACCCGATACTAAACCCAAAACCCTGCACGCCAAACCGTAAAACCCCGATACTGAACCCAAAAACCCGGGCTCAAGGGTTCAGACCCACATGGCTTTGGCAGTGTAGTGTTGGGATTGCGAAGGCTTATGGTTCACTTGAGCTTTAAAGTTTTAGGGCTTAGGCCTAAACCCCTGAACCCTCAACCC